AAAAAAAAAAAAAAAAAAAAAAATCTAATGAAATGAAACGAGCTGGCGAGCAATTCGTAAGGTAATCGGATGCTGGTTTTGAACATGTTAATATTTCATTTCCCTCGGTTAATGTATGTATAGTGCCGTGTTTCTTTGGGCATCACTGACTGGCCTGCCGGTCGCAGCTTACAACCGGTAATTATAACCCTGCGTATAATTATACAAAGTGGGCGTGGTGGATGTTTATTACGGGACGCCTTTCGACCAATTCGAATTGTATGCTTTTCGAAATCGTTTTTTTTTTTTTCTTTACACTACAATTGTGTAAGACGTGGGCTGTAACACGCGATGCGAACTCTTCGAAAACAATCGACAATCGAGACGTTAACGATATCGTTTGAAAATTCACAAAAGATTCACTCGTGCTAATATTTCGATGCTTAAATATACTTAAGTTTTTATTTTCTCTTGTAAAAATTGTAAGAATTGTGAAGATCAATGAACTTGAAACACTCTACTTTCAAAGTGTATCGTTTGTTCTTACGTTCACGTAAAAAATGAGTAATTTAGTGAAAAGATACTTTTCTTCTCGAAAATGTTACAAATTGCCACGATGTGTAAAAACGTTGAAAAATTTTGCTCGTGAATCTACAATCGATTTGAAAATTCACCTGCTCTTTACAACTATTTCCGAAAGCTTGATCTATAATATTTCTTTCACCATTTATAATATAATATAATATAATAATAATAATGCGATATTTGAATTAACACGACAGGAAAATTGCAAAAATTTAATTGCAAAGATCAATATGAAAAGAAGTATAAAAAATTACTTCACATTTATATATTAAACATCTTCCTTTACGACATAATTAAAGAGATTCCTAATCGAATCGATCATCATCTAATAAATCCTTACCAATATTTTTATATCAAAAATGTGTAGTTCAGTAAAAGGATACTTTTCTTCTCGAAAATGTTATAAATTGCCACGATGTGTAAAAACGTTGAAAAATTTTGCTCGTGAATCTACAATCGATTTGAAAATTCACCTGCTCTTTACAACTATTTCCGAAAGCTTGATCTATAATATTTCTTTCACCATTTTATTCAACTTTGATTATAATATAATATAATATAATAATAATAATAATGCGATATTTGAATTAACACGACAGAAAAATTGCAAAATCAATACGAAAAGAACTGTTCAATAAAGTATAAAAAATAACAAATTAAACATCTTCTTTTACGACATAATGAAAGAGATTCTTAATCGAATCGATCATTATCTAATAAATCCTTACCAATATTTTTATATCAATAACGCTGAATGAAACTTTATTTCATTATACTTATATATAGTAAAGTTTTTGCCCAAACATCGTTTCAGACAATGTAATGGCAGCAGTACCGGATACGAAGGTTGCGAGTACCTATGCTGCGGTCGAGGACACGTGACGAAAACGGAAGAGGTGCTGGAAAGATGCGACTGCAAGTACATCAGCTGCTGTTACGTGAAGTGCAAAACGTGCAGACGAATCATGAAAACCTACGAGTGCAAATGAATGCACGGATTC